CCTCCCACTTTCTCCCTTTGTCCTTGATTTGCTTTTATTGGTGCAAACTGAGTTCAAAGTGCAACAATAGTTTGTATTCAATTAACTCAGCAGGAGAGAGGAGAGGAGGGGTCAAAATCTTTGTTTGTAGAATCAAGCAAAAGCAAACTGCTCTAACCTTTCCTAGTTTGTGTGTTCTTCCTCATTAATAATGTCTGCCATCTTGATCATACGCTGATGCTAATCAATCACATGTGTCCCAGTTTTCATCCATGAAATGCTGGAAGATATGAGAACTTCCTGACAGTAAGAAATGTTTGGACCATAGAGATTGAAAGGAACAGAATCTGCAGCATTTCTTTATATATAATTATTCCAAATATAACCAATTATTGGATAATTCCTAAGTCCCATTTGGCAGCCTGGGAGTAGCAACCAAGAAGATATCTTGTGGATTCCTCACTGAGGAAGAGGGCTTTCTCGACACCAGAGCAAAATAAAATGGAGACAAGCTGTTCATAGTATTAGGAGCTTAATACCATCATTTCTGAATCTTCCCAGAATGAAGTTGAAAGCCAGCCTAGTTGCCTCCATATGAGAGCAATCTGCTCCTGAAAACTAGCTGTGGGAACCAGCTGGAATAGAAAGTGTCTTTTCGTTCATGATTATGGCTCTGTATGCATGCACAATGTCACATAGAATTCCTGTGTTTAATTTTTAATGGATCCCTGGGAATGGAAGATGTGTACGAACACTTACCGTTAAGTTTGATTAATGAACATACAGTTGTTCCTGTGTGCCTTCAAGTCATTATCATCTTATGGCAATCACATGATTGTCTTGGCAAGTTTCTTCAGAATGGGGTTTGCCATTGCCATCCTCTGAGGCTGAAAGACTCTGTGCTCAAAATCACCCAGTGAGTTTCCATGGCTGAGCAGGGATTCAAACCCTGCTCTCCACAATCATAGTCCAACGCTCTAACCACTACACCACACTGGCATACAGAGCCATGTGGAAATCCACTGTCTTCTTTTTCTTGGAGCAGAGTGGAACAGGTATAAGGTAGTAAAAAAACAACAACCCCAAACTGTGTTAGGCCACCCTCCCCCATCATCCTTCCTCAAAATTAATCTTAATTTGAGTTTAAACAGACTAGGCTCCTGCACTTTATTTCCATCAGCTTCACCGAGAGACACTGAAAGCTTCCAAGTGGAGAGAGAAGTTTGACAGCTCCTGGGGCTTTCCTCTCCTTGCTCCCATTATGCATTTCAGCTTCACAAAGGATTCCCTCTGCAGGCGAGTTGAGGACTAAAGCAGGTTATATTTGAAAGTGCAAAATCAAGAGGGGGTTAGCTGAGAGAGTGAGAGCTTGAGGAGCAGACAGCTGATTAGCAGACTTGCATTTATGACAGTTTAATAATAGAGCTGTCACAATAGGAGAGATTTACTAATTGCAGAGTCTTTTCCTTTCAGGTTCCCATCACATTACCATTTAAATCCCTAGGCAACTCTTTCTAAACACCTCCTTTTTAAAAAATGAAGAAAGAGAGGGAGAGAAAGTACCTAGGATTATTATTAATCTCTTCCCCCCCATATATATATCAGCACAAACTTACAGTGAAATTAGACTTTTATTGTTTGTGTAAATAAGGAGTGGGAACAACCAAGAATCAGATGGAGTAAGCAATATCAGGTAAATGTGACTTGTATTGAATCTTGGTCTTTTAATTCAGGCTGTAGCATTCTAACAATAAAGCATAGCAGGCAGTAGCATTAGATGGTCCCAGCAAAAGTTCAAGAAAGCTTGGATTCTGACTTACATTTCACACAAAGATTGGTCAGGCTCTTCAGTTCCTACAACAGAGGGTTTTTATGAAAATCAAAATGGAGAGGAGAGCCATACACATTGTCTTTAGCTCCCAGGAGGAAAAGCTAGATATAAATGTAACAAAAATCATCATTGTCATCTCCTCCTCTTCCCGGAGAAGACTTTAGTTCTCAACAGAAGCAATCAGTCAGTCACACTGTAACTCCCTTCATTCTTAGATCTGTAGGAAACTACAGAAAACTAGATACAGCATGCCCTCCACATTTGCTGGGGTTAGAGGCACAGAACTCCCATGGAAGTGGAAAAATAATTTTTTAAAAAAGTATTATTATTTTTACCTGAGAGAACACCTATCTAGGAATCTCTCAGTCCTCCAGCACAATTCTGTAGTCAACATCCACCAGAAGCCGACCATAGAATCATGTTGAGGACCTATAAATGCCTAAAGAAATATTTCCTCTAGGAATCTCTAGATCTTCCATCACAACTCTATGGTCAACTGCCAGCAGAATTATACTGGAGGACCTAGAGATTCCTAGAGAGAACATATTACTCAAATCCTTGAATAAGCAAATCTGCAAAAGTTAAAAGCTGCAAATGTGGAGGGCTGACTATATAATGTAATATTTTTGAGAACAGGCTCCTACGATGGCACATAAAAACAACAGATTGAGACTTTATTCCTGTCACTGGGAAGCACAAGCCCTCTTTGGATTTTGTGTTTTCAGCAGGCCTTTTCTAGAAACTTTCATCAAGACCAAAGTAGCAAGTCTATACTTGTAGTCAAGAAAAATACAAAATGTTTTTTTTTAAAAAAAAATTTTTTTTTTAAATGGAGGTGTTTTTGAGATTGGGTTGTGCAATTTACAACCAGTTTCATTCTTTTACAGAACTGCAGCTCAGTCTCTGAATAAGTAGCACTATAAAGCACAGGACTATGGCATGCCCAAGGCAATATATAAAAAAAATTGCTGTGATGTCTTTAGGACAGCTTTCATCACTGACACCCAGGAGTGTAGAGGGCACCCCTGAAAAGTCTGTAGGCTCTTCTATCTAGCTTCATACCACCTTTCTACTAAATAGATGCTTCCCACCACCTACAAACTGCAATTAGAACACCTCTTCCCTGAAGCAACACTATCCTCTGTAAAATTCACACATGACTCAGGACTCTCTATGGCAGAGGTAGAGAAATTGTGGCCCATGGACCATATGAAATCCCCACCTCATTTTGTGGCCCATTGAGTTCTTCAGGATATTCACCAAGCCCACAGCCCCCATCATGAAAAGGTACGTTTAATGTTCACCCCAGTGGTCAATATGACTGCAACATGGAGTAATTTTGCTTCCTTTGTATTTCAGCTCTGACCACCATTCCCCCTCTTTGGAGGGCAGCCAAAAATGAATCTACAAGTAACATCATATCACAGTTTGGAGCAGCAATGAGGACCCAGAGCAGCAATGCAGCAACAATGAGGAACATGGTCTGAAGCAGCAAATAGGCTCACTGGGAATGTGGGGTTTTAAGGCAGTTGCCCATCTTTGCTAAAGGGCTCTATCCAAGTAAAATCAGGCCTCATTCCCACTTACAAATGAATCAGTTTGTGATCCGAATCAATGGATTGTTTCGGCATTGGAGCATGGTTCACACTACATTTGTCCCAATCACATTTACTTGCTATAAAATAACCCACTTGTGGTTCACATTGATGAATGAATTGATTCAAAATGGACCTGCTTCAGATGGCTGAAGTGCAAATTTAAATCAGTTCCTATCTGCATCTGGTTCACACTTGCACAGAATTGATTTATCAAAAAAGATGTGGAAAAAATCAGCATCAAAAAGATGTACATTAAATGGGTCTAGTGCATGGCCCCCTCTCCAAACCACTTCAGCAATTTGGTTCAAGTGCGAACCAGGGTCATTTAAACTGCTTCAAACCAGTTTGCAAGCCAGTTTAAAATGTAATGGGAATAAGGCCTCTGGTTCTGTCATCAAGTTTCTTTTCAATGGCTTGTGAAAAGAGGTCTCCTTATGTAAATGGTTTCCACAGTTCCCTTATGGAGCAACTATCACCAGCACTCACAGCCTGATGCTCTGACACAGTTCTACTGATTTATGTCTCTGTTTATGTGGAATTACCCTGGCAGAATGTCCTACTCCACTGGCTCTCAATAGAAGTCCAGCTATGGAATCCATTTTGGACTGCCTTTCTGTAACCTTTGAATCTTCAAACTTCTTACCGTAGTTTCTCATACAAAAGCCACCCATATTTCTCTAGATCTGAAATGACACACCTACTTCATGCTCATGTACTATTAAACTTGTTCACAAATATGTGAACAGTCCCCTTCCTTCCTCTTTGCAGATTGACTGTGTCATCTATGACATACAGGACCCTCTGCAAGGAACCTTCTCCAACCTAGATCCCTCCAGAATGTTCTGGACCACAGCTTCCATTAGGTCCAGTAAAGAATGGTAGCAGATTATGGAAAATGTAACCCAAAACATGTAGCAACTTCAAGATCCCTGTTAAGGGAGGTTTTGGATATAAATAGAATAACTGAGTAAGGAAAGTACTAACTGAGGAAAACCAACTGAGTTGCATTAATGAGACTGTCAGAATATCATAGAACAAATAAATCAGCTAAAGAGTTATAATGGGACCAAATTTTAGCAACAAGATTATTTAAGAAACAAATAATCTTGTGAGACATTAAAGACTAGCAAGTTTTATTTGGCACAGGTTTTTCTGGACTTCAGCCCACTTTATCAGACACATCTTAAGAAGTTTGAAATCATAAGTGAAATTAAAAGGTAGAGTATGGGGGGTTGCAGACTGCCAGAAATAGTGCAAATTGAGTCCACTTTTAGGGTTAGGGTTAGTGCTAGGGAATCATGGGAATTGGTTTTTGTCTGAGACATTGAGCCTTCTCTGTCAGAGAGCTCTGGTGCCACAATAAAATACAGGTCCCATGATTCCCTAACCCTAACCCTAACCCTAAAAGTGGACTCAATTTGCACTATTTCTGGCAATCTGCAACCCCCCTATGTCCATCACATCAAGTTGTGGTGTGAATCAAACACTAAAGTTTTGGAATCAGCTGATGATCCCAGGACTACACATATATATCTAGCCTGTCATTGCCTATTATTCCTCAGCCATAAATTTAGTTTAATATATTTTTAGAGGGTGGGAGGGTTAGGGAAGGGATTGTGGATTTGCTTTAACTTGTTGAGTAATTTTTAATGTGTTGTACACCGCCCTGATTGCACTGCAGAGGGGCAGGATAAAATTTATTATTATTATTATTATGGCATGGATTTTTAGACATCTTTCATTGGCACTAGAATTTTTCCTCCTACTTTATATAAATTAGGTATTAGGAAAACCAAACAACTTAACTTCCCTCTCTCAGGTCTGAAAGGAAGCTTCACACCAAAAGAGATGTAGCCCAAATTTCAAGATTAATACTGTTTAAATGTTGTCTGCTTAAATGATGAGTGGGATTGAGATAAGTTTTTTTTTTAAACAGAGAGGTAGAAATATTGAATACTTTAACTTCTACTCAATAACGTACCTCTCAAGTTTTCAATTCAATGGCAAAAATAAGATTCTTTAGTCAGACACTTTCTCTTATGAAAGTGGATTAACAGTCCAGCTTTAAACAGGTTCAGTTCCCAGGATGCTATTAAACCCTGCTTTCCTCCTCTCCCAGCTCCTGCATTCTAAATAGATTAGCACCCAGCTGATCAAAAACTGAATAATTATAGCAAAGCAAGAAGGTTAATGGCAAGATACATCCACTGTCACCTCATTAGAAGAAGAAATCTGAAATGTTCATCTGTTTATTATGGCTGATTAGCACCAATGCACCAGAGACCACTTTGACAAACTGTCAGCTAGATTAGTTGTAGCAGCAGTTATCTACCCATTCCAAGCAACCAAACTGAGGCCTTTACAACAGAAGTGGAGCAAGTTTAGCATCAACTGCATTATGGGCAGGTCTAAAAGGAGGAGGGAGAGAAAGTCATATATTTTTGTGCAGGAAATTGGATGCCAAACTTTTCCTCGATCTAGACTAGATGTTTTCAGACATGTTTTCTATTAAGCCAAAGGAAAAGAAGTCACTACTAACACCCACTACTGCTAATACTGAAGATTTTAAA